AAGTGTGCAACTACTTATTATGACTTGCGTTTTACCTGACCATTATGCTACCGGACAACCCTTACCTATCTGCAACGCATATGAATGCAGTTCAACCTTCCCTGCCTGAAGTAACGTGTTATCTTGTTAATTATAACTTACGCACATGCAGCACTCTATCAAAACTTAATCTTCCAAATGTCTTAGAATTGAGGGGTTAATGGAAAATATAAACAACGTTCTTGCTGTAGTGATTTCTAACCGCACCGAAGCCACTGAAATATCCAAAAGTGGATCAAATTAATCATACAATTTGGCCAAAATACTTATAAATTAAGCAAGCTGGACGGTTATCTGGCAAACTGTAGAAGATTTTACATAAACAGTCGGCTGTTTGTCTCACAATCGGTCGACTACATACGATTCTGCAGGATAGACGGGTAACATGAACCGAATTGTACTAAATGTACGGTTCATGTTGAAGGTCCTGCAATTAAATATATCAGAAAGTTTGGTAAACATGGGTACGGACTTCATAGAGGCCATAAGTTTTCAACAACCAAGCAAAGGAAATCGTTTAAGTCTACAAAATGTGCCTATAAACTGCTTTCAGTCAACATCATTGGTCTCGAGGGAGATTTTATCATAGGCATCTTGCAAACCAACGGACACCAAGGGAACTTTACAAATAACATGCTCAGCATAGGGAAGCAGTAAAATTGGTAATTCGAAAGACCTTTAATATAACACAGATTAAGTATAAACAAGGGTTGGCAGAAGCTTAAGAAGTGAACTGAGTAAATTTACATTACTGAATGTTTTATCATCCTACGCTAATCAGAAAACATCCTGATCAATTAAATTATTTTACTTCTAGATATCTGTTGTCATCGGCAAGTTTAAATGCAACCGGTAGAATGTTATGAGAAGTACATGGCGAAATAACCTTTAGGAAAGTGAAACGACTGTGCGATGATGCACTCTTGGTAGTCCTAGTAAACTCGAGACGCGATTTGAATTGACAGACTGTGAGTAAAGTCTACTTGCCCCAGCGTTGAACTTCTTCGTAAGTCCCCAGCAACTTCCACAATCTGAAAAAAATCAGAGTTGGCTTACCAGTTAGTTCGCGTAAGTACTCGTACAGGCCCATATTTTATGGTTCTTACTCTTAACCGTTTTTTCTTCAACGCCCATAGTGTTCCTTAATTTGCAGGCAGTTTGTCTTACAAGTGGCAAGCCTTACGGCTTGCCTTTTTCTGGCCTGTATCGCACGAACCTTATCCTTAGCTTTAGGTCCACCCATATGATTTACTAGACTATCATGTGACTTTCTTTACAAGACATTTTCTATTTGCTCTAGATTTGTTTTATAAGACAACCTTGAAATAAGATGTTATCTTTAAGCAGATGCCTATGTATTTTTGTAACCAAATAGCGATATTATATCTTGTCATCTTCATGACTGTTGCCATGTTCCATCTACTTGCGTAAAGGAAGTACAAAGGAGCAATTTCCTGTTTCGAGGTATATCACTTGGTCGACTCATCTAAAATCTTATTTATGAGGACATTTTAAGTAAGTCAAAGAATACAACTCCTGGTGCTGCAGCAAAGCATATTTTCTGAAGCTATTTGTGCAGCTTTTCTCAACCATATAAACTCCAGCAAAACATATAGGAAATGAATGTAGCAAGTTCATTGACACGAGGTACATAATCACTTCAGGTAGCTTCATGTAGCTAAATTTAAAACTACTGAAAATACACAAAGCAGCCGTACTTTAAACTCCTGACAAAAAAGTATAGAACATGTTTTCAAACGTCCAGGAAGAAACTGGCTAAGAAGAAAACCACTTTCGGTTTGTGCATTTATTAGTAGTTTCAAATTTGCCGCAGATGAGCCTAAGAAAATCATGTTACATAACTCAGTATCCCCAAATAAGACGCTTCATGTTACTTAGATAAATAGTGCCTTTTGGGTGCTTCATAGGTACTTCAAGCAACTTCTCCCGTATTATTTTAACAAGGCTCTTCTCAGACATTAAACTGAAAGCGAATTCACGCCGACTTAAGTTCTACCCTAAAAGTAAACATTATCTCGAAATTAGATATTCAAGTTAAACGATACGTATATGAGGCTGACCACTCGCAGAATCTTTTGCTTTGGCGCAAAACTTGAATAATTTCCTTGACTGCGAGCAACAGACTACTGCGAAGAATATCAAGTTGCCGGTCAAAGTATTTTTTGTAGAAGATTCTCTAGGTACCTTTTTCTGCTTATATTTGATGGCCAACTTGAGACGTGATAACTTCATACGCTGCCCGTCAGCTCCACAAGGCATGTATATAGCATCCTCCTCGTACCCATCACACGATCCTGTGTGATAATTCAGAACAATGGCCAATTCAGCAGAACCCCGTGTCTGCTCCAACAGCGCGGTGGCGAACTCTTGACATTTCATTGATAGTTGTTCGTAGTCCTCCTAGAAAAGATTAAAAATATTTTTTGCAACCTGTTAGTTGATCATTATGATTGATTTTTGTTATTACGCTGTTATAATTTTTGGAAATAAAATGATTTATATTCACTTCAGTTAAAACTACGCGTTATAACAAAGGGAATGAAAATCAATAACGGTACTGGTACATAAATTTAAAATGGTCAGCAATACTTCAATATCTATCTTCATTAAGGTCTTATTTCTGTTATTTGCTGTAATATACAATGCTGATGTTTGAATGAGAATGCCTTTTAATTCATGTGTGAATTTATTTTTTAGTTTTGTAAACAATAAAGTTTGGTGTAAACGAAAAATAGATATATCGTAATAATTATTATCCGTGTAATTATCTATATGAAGGTAGATCGAACTATGGCCTTATAAAGCCCTCTACTAATCTGAATAAAACACATATGTTCATACGTGTTACACCGCGCGTAGGGTTGGTAATGTTGCTTCAAATATATACAAAAAATCAATTAACAGACCATTACCTTGTTAACACAGCAGGGCATTTTCATGGGACTATACGGACTATGTTTTGATTATCTCCTTAGGAAATATCTTCACTAAGGCTCGTGATGGCAATATACGGAAAATAGCAAATATTTATAGCTTTTATCCGTTTAAAATATACTGGCCGAGGTCCTAGATTGCATAGACAAGATGGAGGAAACTGCAAGCGGTGCGAGTGCAGTGTGAAAATTATGAAATTATTTCCTCTATAGACAACTCTCCAAGAGCATGTTTAAACATAACACATTTTGTACAAGATTTCGATGAATGTCCACAAGGACTGCATTGTTGATATCCTTCCAACGTAGGGATCTAACAAAAAAAATTCCGGAAAACCTTTCGAAGAAAACCTTTCACTTGTACCGAGTAAAGTGTTCCTCCTCATGATTCTCCTTCGTAAACAACAGCATATAGACTGTTTCATTGTGAGACATTAGTTTAGTCAAGCAACCGCATGGTTAGTTGTTAATTAACAGATATAATATGAATCAGCAGTTTCTACTGTCAAAGAAAAAAACATTCCAGTAAGAAGCGCAAAAGCAATTGCGCAAAAGTTCTTGTTTTTCATTAGATTTGCTATTCCTATTACAGTGCCCATCTTGAAAAGCCCTCTCTGGAGATATAATTTTATGGTAATTTTTATCTGCATACTATTTAAAAAGAACGCCATAAATAATTGCTGGCTTATTAATGCGATAGAGATAATTTGAACGAGCCTTCCTCATATACAATATGCAGCTAACTGGCTATCAACATATATCTTTCCTATGTGGATACTCAGTCTCTATTTTGCCCTATCATACGCATATTGGTTCATTTATTCATTTCGTCAGCTTGTGTTTAACATTGAATGATAGATAAATACAGTTACAAATTTCCTTAATTTGCATGTTCTTAGCTCTTAATTGCCTAATATTATCCCCGGCAGTCTATTGCATGTCCATACATGTCATTTTACCGAAAAAAAACAACATTCAAGTCTATGCTACGTCGTGGAACACGTTAATCGTCCTTGTTAGCATTTCGGATTTCATTAGTGTTTCCGACAGATTGCCCCTAGTTCATTTAAAACAGTTGTTGTGTCAAACCTTGCTTTTCATCCATAGCGGAGTCACTGTACGTAGGAAAATGTACCTGGCTGGAACTTACTGCAAAGTATCACGCTGTAAGTCATCAGACCCAAGATAGAATGCCCTAGACCGCCCACACAGGTACAAAGAATATTTTTTTACTCACAACTGTAGCTATGTTGATGGACATGCATAAATTTCTCGGCATCTTACTGGTAGAAGTACGTACCTATGAATATTTCTGCTCCGATAATTGCTCCGTCCATGTCCTTTTTGCCGATCTTTACACATCTAGGCTGCGCTTCTTTGACTGTTATGGCATTAATAATAGCCACTTTGTGAGTTATCAATATCAAATCGACTTTAAGCCCTATGACTTACCTTAAATTCATTTTCTAAGGCTCCCAGGCGCTTTAGCTCCGCACTCAGCTCAAAGGCCGTGAGAATAGGATCATTGCTGGAAAGGGAGATGAAACAGGGACTGGCAAGAGCCCGGTATGCGTTGATGCGGTGCTTCGAATACTGGAGGCTGTCCTCCCTATTGGCTTGTACACAAGCATTGCAGGCACAACGCGGTTCGTGCGGCTTTGCAATCTGGTTGCCCCGATCAAGCAGCAGTTTGACGATTATGTAATTGTCTCGATGCGCTGCCAGAATGAGCGGCGTTATGTCGGGAGTGAAGGTGGAGGATTGGATGTGACCCAGAAGACCCTTTTTAAAAGAAAGGGGATGTTATGAATGCCGGTAGTTGAAGTCTTTGTGATAGTACAATCGGCAAAATTTAACACAAAGTAGCCCATTTTAAATATTGCTTATGGCTAGTTCATAGAAATGGTGATTGAATATTCTAAAATGTAAAACTTTGTATTTTGAAAACGTATTCTGTTGAATATAAGTAATTTATGACAAATTCATAATTGGTAGGGGACTGGCATCTACTTCAGCAAATTTTTCGCAAGTACCAGGTACGGAATAAGTCAGGACTGTTCGGTTTATCATAAGTTTCCCTTGGTTGTTAGAATGAGGACTTAGATATGCCTTTAATTTAGATAACCTCTTGATGAACTTCAGGCTCTCCTCCGGTGGCGAGCAAATGAACGCTCTTTGGGGTCTTTTAGAATTAGCGATGTTCTTATTTCTAACAAGTAACTGTATTGTTCAAGTAGATATACTTAGCAAAAACACATTATTAGTAAAACGGTGTCCACTATGTACATTTAGACGTCTCTTCTCCAAAGCAGTATGTATTTTTCGCAGTATAATTCACCTAAGAATGGCCAGCAATCTAGACAGTCATTTGGAAAATACTTCTTATCAAACCAAAGAAAAGTTTAAAAACTTGATGATGTTTTACCACACTAAAGATGGAGTCTGAAGACGCAATACTGCAATTTTGCTTACTAATCAAATCGATTTCTTCAAGTATTCTTGAGAAAGTGGCGTTCTTTATAAATTCGCCTATCTGAAGTTGTATCCTATTTTAATACTTTTCCATAGGAAATTGCCTTTCTGACGTGTGCCCTTGTTTAAATGATTAAATGGGAGCTAATAAAAACAGGGCTTAAATTTTATATAATATTTTACAGCAAAAATCTAGTATGATTGCAAAAAAGTCTGGAAATATGCTATATTTCTGGCTTACCTTCTAGTTGTCTGTGTGCTCTA